GGATTTTGGTAGGGACCTTAGAAAAATCTGAAGTCCTTACCACAGCCCCCAGGATCTCCCCTCCTCAATCTCCCAACCTCATCGCTTATGAGGGATATTGGTCTGTAGAGTTTTTTCTTTTAATATATTTGTCTGGTGTTGGTATCAGAGTAATGCTACCTATGAAATGAATTTGGAAGTGCTTTCTTCTATTTTCAGGAAGAGATTGTGTAGATTTGGTATTATTTGGTGCAATTTGGCAGTGAAACCATCTGGGCCTGGAGTTTTCTTTGTGGGAAGATTTTAAGCTAAGAATTCAATTTCTTTAATAGATATAGGACTACACAGGCTATCTATTTATTCTTGAGTGAGTTTTGGTAGTTTGTGTTTGTGGGAGCAGAATAACGGCTCCCCAAGGACATTACATACTCCTCCCTGGAACCTGTGACCATTTACCATAACCATAACCACATAACCATTGTTATGTTGTGTGGCAAAAAGAAATTAAGGTTGCAGATGGAATTAAGGTTGCTAATTGGCTGATTTTAAAATAGGGAGAATATCCTGGATTATCCAGGTGGGCCCAATGTAATCACAAGGGGCCTTACAGTGGAAAAGGGAGGTAGAAGAGTAAGTCAGAGTGAGGTCATCTGAGAACTTGACTTGGTTTTGTTAGCTTTGAAGATGGAGAAAGGGTCCACAAATCAAGGAATGCAGGCAACCTCTAGGAGCTGGAAAAGGCAAGGAAGTGGATCCTGCTCAGAGCCCATAGGAAGGAATGCAGCCCTGTGGATGACTTTGATTTTTGCCCTGTGAGAACTGCATCAGACTTCTGACCTACTGAACTGTAAGATCATAAATCCAGGTTGAAATAAGGCACAAGTTCATGGTAATTTTTTATAGCAAGCAATAGAAAACTAATGCAGTGAAAGACAACTGTTTTCCAAAGAATTGATCTGTCATTTCTTCTAAGTTGTCAAATTTATGGACCTAGAGTCGTTCTTAGTATTCACTTATGATCCTGTTAGTGCTTGTAGACTCTATAGTGATATCCCCTCTTTAATTCCTGATATTGGTAATTCGTGTCTTCTTTTTTCAATGAATCATCTTTTCATTAATTTTCTCTAATTTTTCTGTCTTAAATTTTATTGATTTCTGCTGTTATCTTTATTATTTCCTTTTCTTTTGCTTTACTTGGGTGTAATTTGCTCTTGCTAGTTTTTAAAAATTACCTTTGCTTTTTTTTTTTTTAAAGATTAGCACCTGAGCTAAAATCTGTTGCCAATCTTTTTTTTTCTTCCTCTTCTTCTCCCCAAAGCCCCCCAGTACATGGTTGTATATTCTAGTTGTAAGCGCCTCTGGTTGTGCTATGTGTGACGCCACCTCAACATGACCTGATGAGCGGTGCCCTGTGCCCAGGATCCAAACCAGCGAAACCCTGGGCCGCCGAAGCAGAGTGTGCAAACTTTACCACTTTGCCACGGGGCTGGCCCCACCTTTGCTTTACTAACATATTATTTAACTGTAAGTTTATATAATTCGGTTTTTAATAATGGCTGTGTTTAACGGCTAGCTCGCAATGTTCCTGATACCCACACGGCTTACACACTATGAGCTGGCTCCTGCACACACTGCTTCCATGTTTCTCTCTTCACACGTGGCCTCTTCCTTAGGCTCCAGACTCTATCTCCACTGTCTACTCAACAACCCTACTTGATGGTCACTTGATATCTCAACATAAACATGTCCAAAAACAATGTCCACACAAAGTCTCAATCTTTTTTCCCTACTCTTCTCTCTTCCCACTTTTGTATACAGCACCTCCACACACCCATGTGCTCAAGCGGCCAAGTGAGACTTCATCCTTGACTCTTCTTTCCTTCTATGCCACATGCTGTTGGTCCGCACGTCCTCTCAGCTCTATCTTTAAAACATATCTGGACTCTGAGGACTTCACACCACCTTCTCTATCATCACCCTGGTTCAAACTGCATCAGCTCTCACCTGGATTCTGCAATAGATCCACACTGGGCTCCTGCTTCTGCCCTTGCCCCTGTTGCCTGTTCTCACCACAGCAACAAGGCTCTGGGAAGCCTTCCCTGACCTCCTCAACTTGGTCAGGGGCCTCCTCGGCTCCAACTGACCAAGGCCTCCCCCCATCACAGTACATGTCACGCTGCAACTGCTTCCCCTACCAGACTGTGAGCTCCCTGACAGCAGGGCCTATGACTCACCAATCTCAGAACCCTGGGGCCTAACAGAGTAAGTGCTCAATAAATACAATTTAAATAAAAGAATGAACAAATGAATTAATAAAAACCAGGCCTGCTGAGGAATGGGGTGAGGACCCAGGATCACCATCCCACACCCTGTCACTGTCATCCTCCCACATAGAGGACCTAATTCAGCCCAGTCAAGGAGCAGGGAACCAACAGTCATCCAGGGCCGACGGGGTGTCTGCCAGTCACAGCTCTCAGTCCAGTCCTTGCCAGAAGGCCAAGAGCCCTGTGGTCCCACCATGTGACGGGGTGGGAGAAAAGGAAAGCAGCCTCCAGGCCCTGGCTGGAAGCAGTCACATCACCCCGAATTCTGAGGGCTATGGCCTCCCATTACCATTTTCTGCCTAACTTTGAGCCCAGGTCACACTCCTTGGCCACAGTTCCCAGGATAGCACCCAAAGTGAAGGCAGAGAAGGCTCCTTCTAGACCTTCAGACAACAGTCATGATGAATTGGGTGATGGAATCAGAGCCCACATCCAAGCAGCCCAAGCCTGAGCCCTGGGTCACACTGCTGCCTGTCTCCTAGGAGGGTCTGCTTCAGGGCCCAGGACCAAGAAATCAGAGGCCCAGGACAAACCCGAATGGGATCAGCAAGAAGACAGACTGCAGACCAAAATTGAGCCTCCCTGATGCCTTGTCTAGGCGTATGTGGAGAGGAGAAGAGGGTAGCAGCAGTCCCACCACCTGGCCTGTGGTCTCAGCAGCCTGGCACTGGTCTGGCTCCCCTCATTTCAGCCCTAGGGACCACCCAAGAGCTTGTGGCCCAAAGTCTCCTTTCTGCTTTACAGATATGCTGTTTTGTGCAGCATACCTGAGGGTAAAAGAGATCCCAGGGTCCTAAATCAGGCCTCCACTGGTGCACTCCTTCCATGGGGATCCCTCCCCATATCCCAGATCAGACCCTGGTGGTTACAGAGGCCTCAAGGGCTCTGGAGATCCCCAGCCCAGCCTGATACTGCCCAGGGCCTCCCTCACATTCTTGAAGCCCTTGCTCAAAGAGCACACCTGCACCACAGCCTCAGTGCTCACCTCTGCCAGGAGGAGGCCCAGACCAGACTTGCCCCCAACCCCAAGCCCTCCTCTCTCCCACATGTGCCAGGGCAGCCCCATTCTCCCACCTCTCACGGTCCTTCTTTCTCAAATCCACCTGCAGAGTCTGCTGACACTATCTTTAAAGTGACTCTTGACCTGGGCCTTAGCCAGGCGCCAACACCTCCTTTCTGAACCTTGCCCTGCTCTGCCACAGAACAGTTGCTCTGCCATCTCTCCTGGTCCTCCCACCACTGCCTGTCAAATTAAACATTATGCCCTTCTGAGCTGCACATTGAAGGCTTCCACCACAGCATGATCAGCCCAGCAAATCCCAGCTCTGCCACTCAGAAGCTGTGTGACCTCAGGCTGATCATGTAGCCTCTCTGAGCCATGATTTCCTCATCTATAAAGTGTACTTCGAAGGCTACTGAGAAGTTTTAAAGGCAGTGAGGCAGTAAGTACCCAACACTTGGTAGACTTCAGGTCTGATCCCAGCTATGCCCGAGCCCTGAGGCTTCCTACCCTGGCAAAACGGTTTCCTGCTTCCCTCCTACTCTCCTGGGAGGGCTCTGTGTAGGCAACGGCTCTCTCTCTCTCAAGCTTCCTCGGTATTGTGGCGTGAGGTGGGCAGGAGAGGACCTGAGGCTGAGCAAAGGGACTGCAGGGAAAAATGCTACCTACTACTCCATGTTTCTTTGGGCCTCAGTTTCCCCTCAGCCCAGTGAGGCTTAAATTTCTATGTGCAAGGCCAGGAGGGGGAGATTTCTACATGGCGGCTGGGAGGGGTTGCCTGAGCAGCACTCTGGTGCATTGGGAAAGGCTGAAAAACAAACGCACCAGAATCCAAATCAGGAAAGCCCAGAGCTGAGGTTGCCGTGGCAACCCACAGCAGGCTCCCAGCCTGGCGCTCAGCCTCTCTGGGGTGGGGGCCAAGGCTTGCCAGGCTCGGCTGCCCCCGCCTCTGAGGCCTCCTCCTTAGGCTCGGCCCAGCTCAGCACAGACACAGGAGAGAGGCAAGGGCAGAGAGAGGCACTTCTGCCCCATCCAGTGGGCCTGGCAGGCCTGGGTTCCCACTACCAGCTTTAGCAAGATCACTCCTCTCCCAGAGCGAGGCCTGTACCCAAGGGCCTCCAGAGTGCGGCAAGCCAGCCCCGTGTCCTTCCATCACCCAGGCCCCAACTGCTCCAGCCTAGCATCAGCTGCCTGGGCTGACACAACATCCCTGCGTGTGGAGATGTCCTCAGGCTTCTGCCAGGGCCAGTGGCCTTGAAACTATTACTTGGGCACAGGGTGGAAGGGGCAGTGAGAGGATCCCCTAGACCTCCCTTCATGGCCAGGTGGGGGAAGGAACAAGCACGGGTGCCAGGTACTGGTGTAGTGCTTTCTGCATGTTTTCTCTCATTTAATGGCATTCTCCTTTGACAGATGAGGAAAAAGGCTCAGGGAAGTTAAGTGACTTCCCAAAGTCACAGAGCTACTGGGTGGTAAAGAGCTGGGTTCAGCCAGGGTTTTCCAACTCCTGAACCCAGATCTTTCCCATGGAGTCTGTTACTGGATGCCCTCGGCTGACCATCCAGCATGTCACTAGGGGCCCTCAGGAGCCTATCACCCAATGATCCACCTATCTACCCTGGGGGGCTCTCACACACAGCCCCCCAACCACAGGGCTGTGCCCAGTGTGCACAGACATACAGTAGACGGACAGACAATGGCCTTCATGTCTCTATTTAATGGCCAAGCTAGCACTGCCCAGATGATACCCAGGCCTCAGCAGGGAAGTCCTCCCTCTTGTCTGGTGTCCCCTGAAGAGCCCACCAAAGCTGGTGCCCTTCAGCCTTGCTAGCAGCATCCCAGTCTAGTCTCAGTGTTGGGTGGGCGCCTCATCTCAGTTCCTTCAGCAAGCTGTTGATGGAGCCCAGCAGTTCCCGGAAGTAGCCCTCATCCTCGCCATCTTGGAGCTCCAGGGTAGCCAGTGCCTGGTACTCCGCCTGCAGGCTGGCCAGCATCCTGCTGAGCTGGGGGTCCTGACGGAAGCGGTCCCGGCAGGTGGCCAGGAGGGCGCCCAGTGTCTGCAGCACCTTTTCACGGGCATCATGCTCAGGCAGTGCCAGGAGGTGGGCAGTGATCTCACACCAGCCCTGTTCCCGCAGGCCTGGCAGGAGGTGCACCTGGCGATACTGCTGCAGCTTCTCTGGGGACATCTCTCGGGTCAGCTTGGCTTCCTCCTCGGCAAACATCTGCCATCCGCACAGCCAGGCACCAGGGACGGGGTGGGAGGGGGAGAGAACACACAGAGAGCAGTCAGCGCTGCCCTTCAGATACAAAGGCATGTGGCTGACCCGTGAGTTCACACCCTCTTCCTTCATCCCCTTGGGCCTCAAAGCCCTTCATGGGAGAAGGCCAGCTGGATTCATGGCTTCACACGTGCTTCCCCATCCACCCATCTGTCCTTCCAGACACTCATCAAAAACAACTGCACAATGTGCCAGGTGCTGGAGAAACCAAGATGGAGACACATCCCTGCCCTCAAGGAGCTCAGGGTCTAACAGGAGAATAAAAATTCACCAAATAATTCCTAAAGAGCATGATAAATTTAGTTCAGCAGTGTAATGTGGAGGCAGACAGTCTGGGTTCAAATTCCTCCTCCCCCACTGATAGCTGAATAATCTTGGGCTGGCACTTAGCCTCCCTAAAACCCAATGTCATCATCTCTAGATGGAGATGATATGACCCCTTCAGGATCGTTAGGAGGACTCAATGGGATAGTGAACATGCAGCCAGTGTCCAGAACAAAGAGCATACCCAACAATGTGAGATTTGATATCAAGTGTTATTACACCATCTACAACTCAACAAATGTTAGCTATATCAACAACATCGCCATCATTACCACTACAGATCCACTCCCTCAGAGGAGTCAGGACATGGGGGATAGAAGAGGATGGCATTTCTCTGAGTCTTGAGGTGTGAGAGTTGTCCAAGTGGACAAGGGTGAAGGCTCCACACACAGGAGAGTTAAACAACAGGGCTGAGCCAATCTCATGGTTGAAGAATGGCAGGTTGTGCTGGTCTATGGGGCACAAGGGCCCGAGGGCTCGGCTGGGGCTCAGAACACACAGAACCCTGGGTGTCCCTCTAACGAGGGTGGCCTTTATGCCCAGGGCCTGGGGAGTTGAGGAAAGTCTGGGTAGGAAGTCATATGCTCGGCCCATGTCTATAAAGTGCAGAAACACAGCCCTATCAGCAGAATATGGTGGGAACTAATCCTGTCAGGCTGCCACAGGCAGGAAAGGAAACACCAGAAGCCTGACAAGTTATCAGCTTATTTCAAATGTCAGAGGAAGGCTACGTAGAGATGGAGGGTTGGCAGGGGGCAAAGATATCCCACACTGGCTCTTCTAAATGTACCTGCAAGAAGAAAGAAGGAATCTCTGCCCTAACTCCAGGTGAGAATGAGGCATGCAGATGATAGGGAAGGCAAAAGGGAAGTCCAGGAAAAGATCAAGGGCCACAGCGGACCACCTGATGGCCTTGGGGCCCATCGGGGCTAGCAGAGGAAGTAGGGGAGAGGTGGGGGTCAGCATCCTGGGACAGAAAAGGCTGAGAAGCATCTGAAGTGCTCTCCTAATTACCCCCAAGTCCTGCCGGCTCAACCTCCAAAACACACCCCAATCCTCCCAGCTCTCTGTCTTTGCTCTGTGCACCCCGCTCCTCACTGCACTTTTGCAGTCCACTGCCTCCAGCTCACAACCTGCCTCCTCCAGTCCTCTGATGGCAGACAGTGCTGCCCAGCCCCAAACCCTTCACAACCTTCCATTTCTGATGATCAAGACTAAACCCCTTCCCTGGGACTTCTGCAGGATCTGCCCCTGCCGGCACTTGGCCTCGTCCCCACACATGCCCTCACTCTGGCACCTGTCACAGTAACTCTTCCCCAGGGCCTTTGGAAGTGTAGCTCCCACTTCAAGGCGCATTCTTACCCAACTCTGACTCCATAGTTAACTCGGCTCACCTCTCAGATCTCAGCGCCTCCCCAGACTCCCCAAAAGAGGTCAGGGCCCTGATCAGAGGTAGGCCTCCATGACCTATATGCTCTGGGTGATTCTCTGATAAACGTCTGCCTGAAAGCACCAGGAGGGCAGAGACCATGGACTTGGCACAGCATTGGAAGGACAGACACCCAGTCAACATTTGTGGAAGGAACTGGCAGGTGGATCACCCCTGTAGCTCTTCAGCTCCACGGAGGTGTGAGAGGACACGGGCTCACAACCACAGGCTGGCCTCCCTTTGTGCAGAAGCAGCAATCTGAGAGGGAGGTCCACACTTCCATGGGAATTCTGTGGTTCAGCTGCCTCCTCCCCATCCCAACAGTGCCCTTGAGGTGCATGGTGCCCCAAACGGCAATAGCCACACCTCCGCCTTCAGGCAGCTATGGACCCATCCCCAGTTTAGCTAGTTCTTCACTCTTTCTGAGGAGCCACAAGAACAGAGAAGCGCTGACTGCCTCAAGCATAGAGTATGGCTGATGTCTGTTCTAAAGCTCTCTGGCTGGAACTCCTCCACTGTCCTCCTCCCTGCAGAAGGATGACTGTCTCTATACTGTTTGCAAGGAGATGAAAGTCCCTTCCTGATCTTTGCAGCACCCTAAAGGCTCAAAGGCAGGCTCCCAGGGTCAGACTCAGGGCAGTCTTGGTGAGACTGCCCAGTGGCTGCTCTCTGGGGATGAGCCAGTGTCACAGTGCCCACCAGACCAGGGTTGGGGCAGCAAAGAGACACTCAAGACACCAGAGGAAAGAGATCAGTTTCTCCTGGGAAATGCCAAGCCAATGTACATGTCCTTCTGCAGGCTCGCTGGCCCACACCCAGGATGTCAACTGAGCCCAGGCCTTATTAATTGGATGTGAACACCACATGGCTGCCCGCTGGTCTGAGAAACTGGGTTTCTGCAGCTTGGAGAGGCGGGAGGACAGAGAGAGAGAGAAACAGACTGAGAAACAAGACAGGCTAAGAGGGACAGAGGCAGAAAGACTGAGAGAGCAAGAGCGGGCGAGCAGGAGAATGGGAGCACATACACAAAAGCAAACAGCTGACAGAGAGAAGCAGCGATAGACAACACTGACCCTCAGCCTGAGGCCTCGAGGAGGGGTTCATAGAGCAGGAGAGGGGGCAGGGAGGAAGGGTGGACCCCTAGGCCGCTAACACTCAGCACCAGTTCCAGCAGCTGCCCAGCCCTGCTCCACCAATCGCAATTGGCTGTGTGGCCTCAGAGAGACAGCTGAGAAAGCCCTACCACTGCTCTCTGCAGCAGCTGAATTAAGAACCCAGGCCTGGCTGGTTTTACTCTCTCCTTAATTAAGACCTTTTCAGGCTCACAAAGAGCAAAGTGGGCCAGGCATCAAGTCTTCTCCCAGGCAGCAAGCACCTGGGGTCCCCAGGGCCCTTGAGGACAGCCACTCTGAGCCCCAGCCCAGAGCCAAAGCTCCCAGAGGAGGCACTCCAGCTTTCTAGAATCTTAAGATTCAGCATCATTCCAGCCCCTGACTCCTTGGTCTCCTGGCTGCTGTGATGGCTCTCAGGTGCAGCCGCTCCATCCACCTGCTCCTCATGACCCCACACTATTCTTCAGCCAAATGACCTTTCATTCTGTGAAGGGCTGATCCTGGCTACGTCTGCCTTTGATCATGCTGACCCCTCTGCTTGCACACATAGCCCTGACCACTGCCAGCGCCCCCTCCTCCCTTCCCCCTCCTCACCAGGCCTCAGGTTTCAGCTTAGCAGTCATTTCCCACAGGATCCTTCCTGACGTCTCAGATCCTGAGTGTGGGGCTCTGAGGAAGCCCCACAGCATCCCCATCTGTCTAGCTCAGGCTGGCATGTCTGCTCAGGAGCTCTCCATCACGAGAATGGAGGGATGGATGGAAGAGATGTGGGAGGGCGCAAGGGTCAAATGGTCAGAAGGAAACACAAAGTAAAGTGAAGGGGAGGCAGGACGGGCCTGGGCACTCACCTTCTCAGTGACCAGGTCATAGAGCAGGGTGACCACACGCACAGCCAGCACCTCTGTGCCCTTCTCCTGCACCAGGCTCCTCAGGACCTGCAGCCCCCCTAGCTTCAGAAACTGCTGTTGGGCATAGGGGAAGTGTCGCAGTAAGGAGCACAGTGCAAACAGGACCTGGGGAGGCACAGATCCAGATGGGTGAGGGGTGAGGGGCCACACAGATCTGGCCTTGCCCCGAGGCACAGAAAAGGCAGTCAGAGGTGCCTCAACTACCCCAGCCCAGCCTCCATTCTTCCTGGCGCCACCCAAGACGCTCAGGTATAGCTACACCCAAGAATCCAGGTCTGAGAGAGCCAGGAGAGACGTCAGACATCTTCGATATCACCCCGTAGATAAACTGAAGCCCAGGGCAGGAAGGCAGGGGGTGGGACCCAAGACTACACTGTGTGAGCCAAACCCAGGCCTCCAGACCCCTTGGCATGCTGCCATGCTGCTTTAGATGACTGGGACCTCTCCCCCTACACCACGCAGCACATGACCACTCAGGCCCCAAGGGGTGACATGTACTGCCTGGAAAGGGACCCTTGCCGTCCAGGCTCCACAGGTGTGCTGGGAGCTGGGCAGGAGAAAGGGAAGAGAAACACACCTTCTTCTTTGCAGTGAGAGGCTGCTCCGTAGCCAGGATGACCAGCAGTTTCTGCAGGGCTCCCCCCTCGATGGCCTCCACCTGGACCTTTGGGTTGCTGTCGGGGCGAGAAGAACACGAAGGTGTGACTTTGCACTTACTCACCAACTCGGGGGCACACCACTGTGCCCAGCCCAGGGATCCTGGTGGTTAGGGAGCTGACGCCACAACAGCCATCCCTAGGGAGAAACAAGGTGCACAAGGTGGGGAGGGTTCCCACTCTGGACAAGCTAGAAGTTAGCTGGGGAAACAGAGACTAATTGGTGTGGATCCACCTGGGTAAAATGGCCTATGGCACAGATGATGGGCCAAGAGCTCCCATACCAGTCTCCCATTACCCAGCAGCCAACCGGCTGGGGTGATTTGGGAAGGGAAATCACCTGTACCCATTTTAACATCCTTCTGATGCTAAAGGTGCTACTTCAGTGTCCCGCCTATGGAAATCCTCCCTGTACACCCCCCAAGCCAGTATTGGGTGCTCCTCCTTCCATGACCACAGGCACATCACACACTCGAGGCTATTACTAATACATCTGTTCCCCTCTGGGTGTGGAGCTCCTCCAGGCCAGGGGCAAGGACCCTTTCCACTTCCCTCCTCTCCTGGGCAGAGAGCACACACAGCCTGTAGTAAACGCTTATGAGAGGAAGGCAAGAAGAACAAGATCCAGGAGGCCTCTGAATCCCTGAGTAAATCCTAAACATGACCAACTCAGCTGCCTCCCCACCAGACCCTGCATTCTATGAGAGCAGCTACTGTGATTTTCTCTCTCTCTTTATTCTCAGCGCTCAGCACAGTGCCTGCCATGTCATGGGGCCTTGGGGCCCTGGACAATAGGCAATGAATGAATAAATACATGTATACAACCACGATTGTACCAACCAACAAATGGCAACACTGAAACACTCAAAACCCATTCTGGGCTGGAGAAAGAGCGAGGTGATTCAAACAAACTCTTCAGGCACAGCCCTCCTGGATGAAAGGATGCAGGGCCTGCAGGGTGAGACCTCCATCAGGGCAAGGTGCCAGGCAGGGAACACGGCTGGGAACCCCAGCAGGATATCCTTTTGCAGGCTGCTTGCTTTCTAACATCAAATTAGTGATCAATTAAGGAGCAAGCGGCAAGAACAGGGACCTGTGTAGTTAGGCCCTTGAATAAGGTTAAGGCTCCCTCACTAGCCTTATGAGGCCTCAGAGAAGAAAGGCTACAGGCACATAAAAAGCCTGAGGACAGCTGCAAGGGGTGGAGCCAGGTCAGAGAGTCCACAAAGAGCATCAAGTCTCTACCTAGCTCTAGCTGCCTTACCTTAGCATGGCCACCAGCTCCCTGGAGACCCCAAAAGCACCTGTTCCTCCTAACCCCCAACCTTAGCAGGGGGCCCTCATGGCCTCCTGGAGAGTAAGGCAGGGTGTAGACAAATCAGAGGGAGCTGGCTCCTGGTCCAAACCCAAAGAAAAGGGGAGGCAGGTAACAAGAGAGTGTGCACACTGTTGCTTATAGGAGAGAGCCTGGCACACAGCAGGTGCTCCATAAAAGCTGGCTAGATGGCATGGTGATAAAGCCCAAGTGAGTCCTAGATGGCCCACCTCTCTATTCTTACCAGGCACCAGCTTTGAGGTTCAAAGTAGTCCTTGCATGCTGAGCTAGTTTTCCTGCTGCAAAAGGGGAAGCACCTTCTTCCCTCTGCATCCTTCTGCATCCTCTCAGCCAGAAAGGACGTGCAGGGTCGGTGCTGCTGGCCTGTCCCACTGCAACCCCACTCGTGTCTGAGGAGCAGCCTGGAGATGGCCTGGGTTCTCCGGGGAGGGGAGGCTGACAGCTCTTCACCAGATAGGCAGCTGGGTGCTGATGCAGGGGGGCCCGGGAGATGAGCCTCTCCCCTGCCCCTTGCTCCCCCAACTTGAGAAAGGCAGCTGCTTCATCAAAGCATGAGCTAATTACGGCTGTCTCTGCCATCATGTGCCTGAGGAATGCTCACCCACGACAAGCAGGGTCTAGGAAAAGATGAAGACCACACTGAGAAATTCACACAAACATCAAATGCTGCCTCCCAAGGAAGGAGGGCTGTGAGGCCCGACATCACATCAGCCTCACGGAACACTACCAAGGAGCCCCATCCCTCATGGGCCCACAGATCGGCAGACACAAGGCTCTCCAAAGACAGCACACAAGGCTTCGTCCTTGTCTACAGATCTACTGAGAACAAGACCCGGAAACAAGATAATCACCAGGCCAGCCCCAAAGACAAGATCAGAGCTCAGGAACAGAGGGGACATCCAAGGAGATCCGGCCTGAGCACACTAGATCCAGGGACCGACCTGAGCACCTCCCAGAGTAGCAACCCTGTCACCAGCACAAGGTAGTGCTGGGGAAGGGGAGAGACAACATGCAGAAGACTTGGACTCTGTCCACCCAGGTCTCAGCTGGTAGAAGAGGAGAGAAGGCTCAAACTCCTACGGGAACCAAAGCATAAACAACAAGAAACAAACTATCAGGGGTAAAAGGGGAGGGCATGTCCTGTGTAGGCAAATCCCTGGGATCCTCCAGAGAAAGAATAAGCCGACTGAGAGTAAAGAAAAGATGCCAGAAGCCAATAAGAGGTATGGCTTCCCTGGTACTTCTTGTCACAGGAGCCCTGATGTGGGTTAGAGAGGGCCTGACAACACTCCGTCCCAGGAAAGATCTAGAGGCAAGCTACTGCCAGGAAGTTGCTCAGAGAAGGCCCGCATGCAGGACAGATCCTCGGGGAAGCTCAGCCTGCTCTCTGCCACTTAGCACTGATCAAGCCAGGATCCACACATGCAAGAGACCACACCACCAGCTTCTACTCACAGGTTTCAGAGTGAATGAATGAATGCCTACATAACTTTTGGCCAGACCAGGTAACCCTGGGGACAGGAGAAGAGCTAGGGGGACACTCTGAGCCAGGCACAGCCCACCATGCCCAGGTCAGGTTGGCTCTAGCTATGTGGTATGTGCCTGTTTCAGCCCAGCGTCCCTTCTTCTCCACCTCCTGGTACTGACATCTTTTCCTCCCTTCCTCCCACTCCTGTGGTCCTGATGGGGCAGACCCCAACTCCACAGGCCACAGGGGATGGCTTGTGGCCCAGTGCTGGACCATCACAGTCACTCATCACCATGGCCTCAGTGGGTTTCCCAGGATGGAGCAATCAGAGCCCCTCAGTCTTCTACACTGGAGTCAGGACAGAAAGAAGTTCTCTTCTCCACCAGGCAGGTTGCTGTAAGCCAGGAGCACCTACAGCCATGCCAACAGCAGCCAGGTCTTACCCTATCTTCATGGAGGGAAGCCCCGTCAGAGTAGGAGAGCAGAGAGCTCATACACAGGAGAAATGAAACCACAGAGAAAAAGAGAAAGCCTGATGCGTTTTGTCACTTGCTGAAATCACTTTCATAAGGCAATAAATCTACTTTTTCACCTGTAGCAGAGTCCTGAAGGACTTGGGTGAATAGAGCGGGACCAGGGGCCAAACATGGGCCTATGGCTGAGCGCTGCCTTGGCAGCCCTGGGCCCCTACCCTGCCTGGCCTTTTCTCCTGATCAGCTTAAAACAAGGGCTGCCCAGTCAAGGGGCTGAGGAAACACAGCAGAGGGAGGGTGGGAAAGACAAAGCCTGCATTTCAAGATGGCACTCGGTCCATCCAGGCAGGGACAGCAGAGCCGGGCATTTCTCGAGCAATCTGCCCTGGAGAGACAGACACCAACATGCTCTCAGAACCTCTCTCTCCCCAAGTAGCTCAGCTTTGGGTTCTGAATGCTTACTGCTTTGTGCTTTTGGGGAGGACATGCCCAAAATACCTCAGAGTAAGGTGTAGGGGATGTGCAAGGGTCAGGGCCCGGAGAACCTTTGGTAAGAATCCTGTGAACAACAGCTGATAACCTTGGGTAAGTCCCTTCACCTCAATTTCCTCACCTGGGAGGCAGAGCCAAAACTACCTTGTATTACAGATAGAATAGCTGGCCCAACCCAGTGATGTAGTGGTTAAGTTCATGCACTCCACTTTGGTGGTCCAGGGTTCATGGGTTCGGATCCTGGGTGTGGACCTACATACCACTCATCAAGTCATGCTGTGGCAGCGTCCCACATACAAAACAGAGAAAGACTGGCACAGATGTTAGCTCAGGAACAATCTTCCTCACCAAAAAAACAAACAAAAAACCCCCCAAATTTCATTGGGTTAAAAAAAAAGATACAATAGCTAATGAACACCAAAATGCTAGCCAATATGTCGTGACTTGAAAGATTATAATTATAGTGGGTTTGCTACACAGAGAGGCCAGACTATATATCCTTGAGAACACAGCTTTATTCAGCCCAGATGCCTCAGGAACATATATGCTGGCCTCATCCCCCTCCCAGCCTACAGATTCAAGACCAGAGCTGCAGCCCTTGCCTGGGGTGGGGCCAGGGAGGGGGGGGGTGCTTGCTGGCTGGAAGGTGGGTGCCCTGACAGTTGGGGATATGAGTGAGTTAAAAGGGCAGGGGCCTGGCATGCCCCTCAGTGACATCAGTGGCGCTGGTGTGCTCAAAGTCAACAAAAGGATATTTAAGGACGTAGCTCGTCTCCGACGGGATAAATGAGAATAAACCTTGTTCAGAGCTAAGCCGGCTGGACTGAATAAATACCATTAGCACTTGGATTACTGGGATGTTCACAATCAGCAAGCGAGTCAGCTGTCTGTGTGCAGAGGGACGGCAGCAGCTGCTACTCTGTAAATCTTGGATCGGGGGTGGGGGAGGAATTGCAGAAATGGAAGTGATTGCATTTGCAGAAACCAAACAGTTTGGGTCAGGATGACGAATGTGAGCAATCTGCCAAGGGTCAGAGGTCATGTTTTAGCTAACCAAAGCTGAGCAAGTGTCAGCGGGGGTGGGGAGTTATTGGGGGGCAAGTAGTAGAGCTGATCTCAGGGTATGCAGCCAAGCCCAGCCAGGGGGCCCATGAGAATGCTGGTCACTTCAGATCCAGAAGCTGCCTTTCTCCATCCCTGGCACTCAGGACTGGCTACATAATTTTCAGGTCCAATGCAAAATGGAAAC